GGGATCCGTGGATGGGCTTCAGGGGGGTCCGTGAACCAGGCGCATAAAAATTTTGTGGTTATGTGCTTATGTGCATTTTTCTGGAGAGGGGTTCGTAGCTCTCTCCAGATACTCAAAGGGGTCCATGACTTAAAAAAGGTAAAGAATCGAACCACTGCGCTAAGGGCTCACGCACCCACCAGCATTAGACAACCTGCTGCATTAGATTCAGCAGGTGTTACCCAGGCTGTGAGGTGGGCACGTAATGACTGCACTCTGCATCTCGGATTTCACAGTTTAAACTTAAATCTATATTCGGAGCTAGAGAGCCGAAACATATTCGTGCACGAAAAATGAGGCAATGGCTTGATAAAATAAACTAGCGTCAAATGGCTTAATTACCTGTAGTTAGTATAGTCTTACTTCCTATAATTGTATATATTGCATATACTAGTTTCAAACCCTGCTCTGGACAACAAAGATATCATTATAGCATTTATGAATCAAGCAGTTTCCCACTCCTAAAGCACCTAAATATGTAATACCATGAACACACGCGCACACGCGCGTGCATGCGTGCGTGCATGCGTGCGTGTGTATATATTGTAGATATGTTCATGATAATGCCTATTGGAAATACCTGGATATTCGTGTTATACAAGGCATATACGATGGGTATATCTACACTCAGTTTACAGTAGTTACAGCTAGCACCAACACCAACAATTCTGCGAGTACGTACATTCTTAGCTCAGCCATAAACGCTCGACAATAAAGTGTTCACATACTAAATTGCAATCAAACTGAACTTTGTCTCTGTGGTGTAGCAATTTCAAGGAGCATCACTGGTACGTTTATTACATCTAGAGTTCCGGTGATGCCATAGCCTAGCACACACAGTAGAGCTCATAGGGTCTATGTCTCCATGGGTACTGCCGGAACGTACCCTGAACGTACCCTGGTAACTATCTGATATGGTTATGGTTAGGGTTAGGGTTAGGGTTAGGGAGTAGGCGTAGGCGGCTCCCTAGACTCATAAGTGGAGTAGACGAGGTACGGTCCGGCATATTAGAAGTTACCAGGGTACGTTCCGGCAGTACCCAGGGAGACATAGACCCGACGAGCCACAGTAGAGGGAAGTGACCAGCGAGTCAACACTAATGCCGATATCCAACAGAAAACAGATGGTGACATAAATCTTCAGATAACACAGATACTAAAAGTGATGGAACATGGGACTATAGATAGACAGGGATGGGCACATAACAGTGTTGGAAATGGCAGCCTGTCCCCCAACTTAGCACTGGTCACTTTTAAACAAGACTGGCCTATTTATATGGATTTTACCATAGGTTCTATAGCAGAAATAAAAATATTTGGAATCAGTACTGGCTGGGTTTTCAAATTTATTTCTGAGACTACGATTATTTCCAAGTTGTAACGATGGTAGTAAAAATATCAACCAAAGTGAGAACAAGCACTATATTTAAAATATAATACATTAGACCAATTCACAAAAAGCATTATAAGTATTGCCTTTTGTTACAGGTGCTAACTCTACAGTGCACAATTTAAAACATTTAAAAAAAGGATACTTTTCATCTAAAGTAATCACTTTGCTCCATGGATTTGTATGTAAACTGTTCCACTTGAAAAGCTGTATGATTCCGCTCTCCAATCCTACAGCCACCAGATACCTGCAGATAAACCTAGGATTATAGTGGTCATCACTCATTAGAGCTGAAGGGGTCGTTGTCGTATATAATATGTAGTACCCGAGGTGTCGGCGAGTATGTCGCCTACGCCTACTCCCTAACCCTAACCCTAACCATATCAGATAGTTACCTCGGGTACATATTATACGCCATTATACGACAACGACCCTTCGTGCCTCATTAGGTAATACTATGAAGCAGAACCAACGTGTTTTACCTGATCAGTGCATCAAAGAATCTAGAGCACAAAGATTCTGTGTGCTAAGTCGAGGCCATCTTCGCATTTCAATTAATAATTCGTAACTATAATTCATGTTATATGTTTGTATTATTTTACTCATAATTCGTTCATATTATGATAACGAGTTTATATTGTGTTAATTTATGTTATAGTTATTTACGATTCCATCCGTTGTATTTCTAGACGTTTGCCAATATCGGTTTTACAATCTGTCAAATCTTCACCAGGGGGGTGCTTGCCTAGAAATGTTTGGAATTTTTTTAAACATTTTTATACTTGTAGACTGGAATGTGGGCCACAATGCGTTTGCAAGAAATATACTTACTCTTCGCTCGAGCAAAGAACGAAAGGCATGTCAATAGCTGTTATGGAATCGTCTAGTTGCAGGGGGTCGGGGCATGCTTGGACAATACCAAGACAACTGTCTTTCCTTTGTTCCTGTGTCACCTGCCACATCACGACCTGTTTCAACAGCACAAGAGGTTACCATTATGTATAGTTCAAGTCTAAAAACGTATAGAAGTAATCACGTGACTAGAAGTGTATCACGACTAAACATTTTGATGGACAAGGAAGCATTTTATGCACACCACGAAACCTTTTGTATGCTGATATATTAAGCTACAAAGTACAGTGGAACCCCGAGTTGACGCGAATTCGGATATAACGCAATGAGTCGTTGGACCCCTAGCTTTTTTTGCTCTTATATAGCCACGTATATATAACCCCGATTTAGTGCGACCCCGCTTTTCTCGCAATGACATTTTATGGACCCCAACCATCACATTATAATGGGGCTATACTGTATAACATGCTGCTGTAAGCTGGTGTCGGTATAGAAGGTACAATGTTGCTCTGATTGATGGCTAACTAATAACTTGACAGTAAACGTTTTCCATAAGGAAAAACCTATGGCCATTAGTGAGTGTGGCAAATCTACACAGGTATTGCTTACTAACAGTAATGATCAAATTTATGGTAGCCATAAATTGGGATAGCAAGCATTTATGATCCGTAATTCAGGTGCGACTTGCCCAATGGCAAGCATAATATCAAGAGTACATGATAATAGAGATGTACTCTATTATGTACTCTTGATAATATCCATACCCAGCACCCCAAAAGTTTGCTCATGCCAAATACACTGGCGAACCATGATTCCACGGTAATGCCACAAGGTTTACAATTTAAACAAGATAAGGACAGCACTTATAGGTTCATCGCAAGGTAATGGCCTAATGCACAGAATCGACAGAGAAACACCCATACATGGCGATTCAGCTATTATCTCCTTCGATCGCAACTAGTTTTTAGGTACCATATTGTATACGAGATTGAAGTTTTATAGATAACCTACGATTAAAATGTTAAGCCCCTGGAAAACCAATGATTCACTGAAATCAGGCCATTTGTTAATGTTAGCAGTGTGTTTAAGTAATGTTATGTGTTTACCATACCTTCTTATCTCTGGAAGCAGTTGCAAAGTGCTTGTTATCATGCGACCACGCACAAGCCCAGATAATTCTAGAATGTATTCCTGTTTTCTTGTCAGAGTAGCCTACTCTTTCAAACTGCAACCCTACACAAAGCAGGACGCCATGTTTGTTAAACGTCTGACTTACGTACATGGAACTACACACATATATGTGAACAAAATCAACTAGTATATCCGAGAAAAAATGTTTGGTTTATATATTAAGGTGCCACCAGTGTGAAGAGTTACTTACACATGAAAATTGAACAGGATATACTATTAAGGAGAATGTTATCTCAGGCTAGCAATGCACTCATGAACTACCTTGCTCTGACTGTGTTCTCTTGAACAGTGACCAGGTCCTGTCACGTGAAACACTCAGAAGATACCTGTCATCTGGTGAGAAAGCAAGCTGCGTCACTGTGAGCTGGTGCGACCGAAGCTGACACATCTGTCGCCATGACGACGTGTCCCACAGTATCACTGCCGCGTGCTCTGGCTTGGATGCCTGCAACGTTAACAGATGACGTGGAAATGAAAAAATATGCTGATTACTAGATATAATTACTATTATATTATTATAATTATTATTATAATTATTTATTTATATAATTATTTATTTAGTAGACGTGTGAATGTACGACCTTAGATACAAAATCTATATCACTGCATTACCCACTTGAATCCTCATCAAGATTTGTCCCTGATAAAGTAAGGTGAGAGTGAGAAAACAGATAGGTAGCACATATATGATTATGTTTAAGATATAAAAACATAAATTGCATCATTTGGTTTTAGGTACCTTGCAGACTGAGGCTACTATTGTTCGTTCGTGGTTACTCGCAACACTGTACAATTCATAACCATGGCCATACCTGAAACAGTAGGATGATGCTAAACACTCACTACATAATGTTAAGAACATGATATTCTTACTCTATACAATGTAATTATCAGAATCTACAGGACTATATACATTATTACATTGCATATGACTAATTTGTAATATATATTCAGTGGATCGAGTTATTATTAAAATTGCCAACAGCAAAACACTGCTGTCTGAAATACTAGTACGATTGTCTTACAGCTTCTGAATTTCAGGCCACAACGTGTTCTGTAGCAAGTCTTCTTCAGAGGGTGGCTCTGAAATAAACACGGCTCAATCGTGAACTACAGAAGAATATTTATAATAAAACTAAATAAAATAAAATCAATAGAATAAAATTAATAATTAAACATGTAAGACTAACCACACTTGAGTGTAGGAATCTATCTTACATGTGAAAAAGATGACAGTGGAAACTGGGAAATTTAAGAAAACATAAATAAAATTCATGAATAGATCATTTGGAGTTGGATAATCCCACATTCTATTGCACACCAACACGTACCCAATAATCGCACTGGCTTGAAGTATAGTTCTGGATACTGTTCGTTCGGGTGAGGCTGGATTGACAACTCATCATTCACAATCTTTTCTCCAGCAGAGAACACTGCCTTGTTAGACAGACCCAATGCTGGCACGCTTGCACCCTCTGGTATATTCAACTGTAAATAAAGCAAGTGCTGCATGGACGGCACCCATCTCATGGCTACTTCTCTACTGCTGATATATCTACTGTCACTACTACCACGAACACATATACAATGATACAGAGATGTACTGGTATAAATATTTTCATGCTACTACTGCTCTTATCGTAGCAGCGACAGAAAGTTTACATAGGTTTCACGTAACTGACTTTTCTGCAGTCTGTTCCCCTCACGTATAAGTTAGATGTCTATATGTACGACTGCGTACTAGTTTCCTAACACTACTATATTCACCATGCCACGCACATATTTCAATAAAACCCACACAAATAACAATATAATTAACTATATCATTACGTTCAACCTGCTAGGAATTACATAGGGGAGGCTCTGGCAAGGCAGCTGGTTGGCAAATAAATTACTTTTAATTCACGCAAGCACCCCACTACAGACACACATGCATGAGAACATGCACAACTCCCCGAACACTGGCATAGCGACCACTTCTGCCTACTCATGCACACACGATCCACATGCACATGAACTTGGCCTCCTCCAGGGATGCCCATAATCACACAGGCGCCCCCTACTGGTCTGCTCCCTCGCAGAGATATAAACACTATCAGGAGTCTATCAATATTGATAGACTCCTGACACTATTTATCAATCATAGAAAGCGCGAGTTTAGTTTATCCATATGAACGCAAAACTCTTACAAGATTTTCAACATCACGTTGGGCCTCCACGCCCGAGAGTCGGGCCAGGTTCTCTACGAAGTTTCTCGGTGCCTCGAAGGTGCGTAGAACTTTCTCGTCTGCACCCGAGACAAATCGGCAGCGCCCGATCATGGCAATGCTGGTCATGTCGTAGCCATGTACCTGCGGCCGTGCAATCTCGTGCCAGTTTGTCTGTAAATATAGATGTGTGCAGCTTAGATATTGCCACTGCTGTTGCCAGGTCTCACCTGATGTCACCTCGTGCGATAAATCGGTGCTAAATACGCAGATTTCTTAATAAAATAAGATTAAACATTATATTTGCAAGGTTATTGAGTGGTTGGTATTATGGAGATTAAACTCCTATAATGAAGGTAAGCGATCTTAGAGCAGGTGCAGAAGAAAGATACATCACCTTTAACATATTCCACTTTTACTGACCTTTGTTGCGTCTCTGACCCAAGGGGCATGAAGTCTTGTGGTCTGGTCTAGACTAACACTAAGCAAGAATTCTCCTCCCTCTGGGTCCCAGTCTATGTCCGTCACTTCATCGAAATGCCCACCGACAGTTACACCTGGAACCCATTGATCTGATACCTTTGGAAAAATGCAGACACTAATCAGATAAAGATTCTAGAGTTTTTACACGACTGCTCACACAATCACCCTATTAAAAGTGTATGCTAATCTAGGTTAACCAATTTCACAACTATAACAATAATATCATATCAACAATACATGCATTCATGAATTGAAAAAATATGGTACAAATCTAGGAATGCACCTGGTTTTTGTGCCACATGTGTATTGCTCCTTGGTATCCATGTGCCATGAATGAGCATCCATCAGGGCTTAGCTGGCAACCATAAAACCCCAATGTGTTGCCACCTATCTCACCAACTCTCACCTATAACACCAAATACTCACATTGAACAACAAGGACGATACAAAAAATATTAACCTCAAGAATCGTTTTTGGTTGTTAACAAAGGGTACGCTGATTAGCTGTAATAGAAAAATGTAATCAATAATATATCAATCCTAGTTGATTAAAAATATGGCATTTTACACAAACACTGCAAAAGTATAACCTTCTAATAAACCTGCATGTTTCACGCTTTTGGAAATATATTTGTTTAAAAACGCTTTTATAGCCATGATTTAGACACACCTGTGTCCAATCCAAACACACTTCACAAAATACCTGACCATGCACTCAAGTTGAACTGGTCATCATTATTATGAAGAAGTGATGATGGGTTGTACCTTATCAAGCCAGACACCAGTGTCTGCATCAGGTTTCCATAATATAACAGTTTTATCCATTGAAGCTGAGATGAGACACATGGGTTGACGTCTTGTCCCATCTAAAGATGTTAAAATTCAAATAGTATTTGCATGCCTCGAGTAGGCTTAACAGGTGAAAACTATTTCCATCAATACCAACCTATATTCTGGTGAAATCCGCCATCAACAACGATGTAAACATCGAATATAAACAAAAATTGTACGCGGCAATTACCCGTGCAAGTGGAAATTACTGAAGAGCTGTTATACCTGCATACTCCGCCGGTTGCCAATGTACACCGTACACCCAGCCCTCATGGCCCGTCATTACTGCTTCTACGGATACCACAAACGAATATTGTTTTCCTGCAAAGCAAACCAGACTAAGCATGATATCATATATTAATGCATTCTGTTACAATGTGTACGATTACATCAGTGTGTTCATTAGTGTATAAAAACAAATTTGCATAGCTCGTGATTCCTGGTGATATCAGTTAATAATGCATGTACTACTATCTGGTAGATATGAGTAGTAGATCCATGACAAAAACTTTCAATCGAAGATTTTTCATGAAACCTACCCTCATTATCAACAGTGAACATCTTCTCTTTAATCTTGATATCATCTTCATTCGAGACACTGCTAGTTAACTTCTGTTGATTATGCACTTCTGAACATCTGGGAGATATTCGCCACAATCTGATGAAAAAATCCTGAGCACAGCTGGCAAGAAGAAGGTCACCACCATCTGCAAAAAAATGAATTATTCGATGTCTTGAAGTTGTGACCATAGAATATTATAAGCCTCATAATGCTCTTACATAGTAATTCAGTAACAATGTAGGACGAGAAATTGATGCATCCAATCAGTTCGTGCACACAACTATTTGTAATTAATGTATGAATTATCATTTATAAATAAGATTTTTTATATATTGTGATTTTTAAACCCTGTTATAATTTGGTAAACCTGTAAACTTTGGGAAGTAACTCTTACCATCCATTGCAAAGTCAAGTCCTCTAACCCAGTCTTCATGTCCAGCCAGTGACTGCACCTTTATAAACTACAACACAGAATGGCACATTAGCAACCACATAGGTGTTCCTGTGAATATTTAGATACATTAACATTTTTCTAACTTGAAACCTCATATACAAACAAAGGTTGAGTGTATCTCTGATAGGAGGATGAAGCTATAACAACTTACTCAACATTATAATGTGGTACTTTCTCTTAACAGTATGAAATTTATAACCAATAGATCATTATTTCACTGTAATTATTTCTGCAGTTGTGCTATTGACTATCAGATTCCTATCATTCTACTAATTTTATTGAACTTTCAGAAAATATATCCATTTTCTAATAACATTCAATTCCAATGTAAGAAACCAATGTACCTGACCACTCTGTTGAACAAAGAGATGAATTCGCATATCATCACATCCACAAGCAAGTAATGATACTACAAAAACCAAATTAATTGCCTTGTAGCATACAGAATACAATGTGCCACATAATTATTAGAAATAACACAACCGAAAACTAAATGATCCAATTACATAACAGAATGTGTCACATAATTACCACACATTATAGATATTTAAAAGGCAGAATAGCAGGCAAAAGTGTATACTGTTGGCATAATAGAATATCAGATTTATCCAATATCACTAACTATAGTTCCAAAAAACCCTACCTTCTGTACCCGGAAGGGTAGTCAAAGCAACATCCAATGAAAAACCAGATCCAAATGACAACGTCTGGATACATGTAAACTCATCTGCCAACAAGTTGGAAAAATACACACCCCTTTCAAAATTTCAACTTAAATGTGACACCTTACTACAACCAGCATCAATCCAATCAGCACTCAGAGTAAATTACACAGGTCAACTTGTAAAAATAAACTATTTTCAGTCTCACCTGCCTCCCATTCCCGTTCCCACAGTTTTACAGTAGAATCGGCAGATGCTGTTGCAATCTGTGTCTTGGCACATGTAGCATCCTTGATCCGCCAGAGGTAGTGAGCACTTATAGCATTTATGCTTCCGGTATGGCCTGTCAGTGTATTGACTGCGCACAGCTGTACATTAAGATTAACAAGCAGTTGAGTATATGAGCTATATTCAGTCACATTCTCTAATGTCAGTGAGTTTCTAGAATTAATATGTTCTGTTACATAACCCAATGCATGAATATGATACTGAAAAATTCAACTACATTTCCCACTAAAATGTAGTGTCATGGTGGTTCGCACACCAAACTATTGTGACCTTAGCTGATGTATAGTTTTTAGTCATTCATCCATACCTGGCTATTTAACCTTCTCCATACTATTCCTATGCTGTCTGTGGACCCCGAAACCAACTCATCTTCCACCTCTGAAAGGAAGCATAATAAATTGACTCACTTCAGGCTCAATTAGGATACCTAAATTCTATATGAACATGCAACGCTCATCTACTCGCAATTTCACCTAATGCTAGTTATGGAGCAACCACCAGACAATTGTACACTCACTAAGTGCCGAGGCGGTTCTCGTAGACCCCCCCCCCCCACACACACACACACACACACACACACACACACACACACAGACACCTTCTGGTACCACTGACTTAACTAATAATATTACCATCAAATTCTTGTGCTAGATGCTATCCATTTTATTTACCTCCATGTTTTGTGATCCACTGAACACAGTTCACGCGACCTTTGTGGGCATTTAAGGTCTGCACAACCTGGCCATCACACGGTGGGAACTAAAACATTAAAAATGGGGTACAACTATAAGTTAAACTAATTGCAGAATTACCAAGCTGCCACCAGCCATTCACAGGCTATATTCTAGGAACCAATATGGGCAATAGCTTTCCACAGACAAATGTGGTGAATTCTTAATCTTATATGCCAGAAATGATCAACTTGTAATGTCTGTTGTCAGGAGCATGATGGACCACTCTGACCATAACAATATACTTGCAAACTGCCAGCATGGTTTCAGGATGTGAGACTCAGCTGTTGTCCACTGTTAACAACCTCAGTCACAGGCTGGATAATCAAGAACAAGTAGACGTGGTGATCTTAGACTTTGCAAAGGCTTTCGACACAGTCCCCCACAATAAACTGATTCATAAGCTCAATTACTATGGCACAAGAGGGAAAACTTTGGTATGGATTAAAAAATGGTTGACCAGAAGACACCAAACTGTAGTGTTAGATGGTAAACACTCAAGCAAAGTACGAGTCAAATCAGGGGTCCCCCAGGGAAGAGTCCTTGGTCCCCTCCTGTTCCTTGTTTTCATAAACGACATATGTTATGACATCGACTCAACACTCCCGACTGTTTGTAGATGACTGTCTCATCTACAAACCCATCAAAACTACAGGCACTTGAAACGTCTCAAAAAAAAAAAAAATGTAAACACGAAATGTATTTACTACCAAAGTCTAAATGTTTCTCTACTCTATTTCGCCTATTCATGCCGATAATTACACAAACAACATGAATAAGAGAGCAGGTAGGAAAGCGTGATCGCAAAATTTGCTTGACACTCGCTTCATTTCACACGACAACAGACCAAAAACACATCCAACAGCTTCCATCTTGGTATCTATGTGTAGCTAAATGTTCACTTGTTCGAATTCTAACTCTGTTCTTTGTTCTTACCTACTACCGCCAGAGATATCTCATCAAATCCTGCAGGAAATGTTCTCTCCGTGAAAATGTAAAGAGGATGTATAGAGGACGTATCATCCGAAAATCCCTAACGGCGCTACATTCGATCGATCGCTGTAGTCGTGTGTGCGTGACGTCATGCCCGCGCGCATTATGCTTGGCTTGGCAGGCCTCGAAACGGAGGCTCGGAGGCCGGCAGCAGCTCATCCCGGCATGCAATGCACCGCCATTACTCGTGTATAAACAGACATCTCGTCCTCTTAACATCCTTTTTACATTTTCACAGTAAGAACATTTCCCGCAGGATTTCACGAGATATCTCTGGCGGGAGTAGGTAAGAACAAAGGACAGAGTTATAATTCGAACAAGTGAACATTTACTGATTTAGCTACTCATAGATACCAAGATGGAAGCGGTTGGATGTGTATTCGTGCTGTGAAGGTGTGAAATGAAGCGAGCGTCGAGCGAATTTTGCGATCACGCTTTCCTTTCCTACCTGCTCTATTCATGTTGTTTGTGCACAGGGCGGGCGTGCGGTGTACTTGTGTGTTGCAGATGAGCTTTTGACCGGCATTTACGGGTAATTATCGGCAATAACAAGCGAAATCGAGTAGAGAAACATTAAGACTTTGGTAGTAAATACATTTCGTGTTTACATTTTTTTCTTGAGACGTTCCAAGTGCCTGTGATCAAAACTGGATCCGATCCGATATAACATTAACACTAACAACAGTTAGTTTCACTTCTAATTCAGAAGTTTTCTTTCTACTTTACCTTTACTTCATATAAACTAATAGAATTACAACTCCCGTAACATAAAACTTTATTATAACCCCAATGGGCTGAATGCGGAGTGCGATTGCAACTGCAACTAATGTAACAACTCTCGCATGCTTTCTCCATGTTGTTTACCACAGGATTTTAGATGCATCCGAAACGCCTTTGACGACTGCTGTAATGTAAGCAATGGAGATGTTTGGAGTCAGTCTAGAACTACATGACTTATGTCTGTGCACTGCCATCTAACGTCAGTTTGGGAAATTATTGAAAAGCGATGCGATTGATTACCGCGCGATATAATTAACGTAGTATTAACATATAATAGGTATTAACAAGTAATTAACATATATTAAACGTAGTATATTAGTATATCAATGATACATAAAAAAATCTGCAGGTAAATGCGTGGATATCGAAACGAATAAATCCGATCTTTGCACCGATGTTAGCCGAAACGTTGACAAGTGCGCGTTGATTGGTCGCGGTATAAAACGTCACATAACAAGTTTTAAACTCAAGCGGCGCTAAAACATGTACGATTTTTGCTAATTTACCGAGTAGAACACACGATAGAGGCTATAATATCGCTTTACAGTTTGTGTGAGAAACATCTATCCATTCAAATGAATCGACAAAAACATTACAAGCAACGGTCTGAAGATGATATGCGAACAAAGAGAGTGGATCAAAAGTCTGAAATTAGTAGACGACAACGTGATTCATGTTTGACACAGCGTCGAAATGTTGGGTCGTCACTGATGGAAGAAGATCATGGAGCGACCAAAGAAAATGTCGACCAAGGTGAGTTAGTATTATTACTACTGGATACAATAATGTAACCCAACAAGAGTACTACTAGTAATAGTATTACTATTAGTATTAGTAATGCACAAGTAATTATTTTTGATTAGTTAAGTTTAATCCAATATTTTTGTCATTGACATTGTGACATTGAAGACTCACATTGAATTGTGCTGCGACTGCGAGTATCAGAGTATTATTCTGCGAATGTAAGGTACTAATTGTAGTTTAATTGTACTACTATTTCAAGTATTTGTACTTGTACTTCTTGTAGAAGACGACAAAACATTAAGTTACTACCTACTACTACTAGTTAGGGTACAAGTAGCGTTTACACACCCATGTCGTGAGTTTGGTTAGGGTTAGGGTTAGGGTTTTTAAACCTGGGGTTGTCAAATAGGAATGGGCCCTAGTTAGTTTCTATATAATTGCATGACTACCCTGACAATGTTTTCTTTTCGTAGGACCTACTAAACAGCAATCAGGAATAATGGAAAGGCTGCAGCAATGGAAAATTAAGCGAGATGCCCAGAAGCGAACAGAAGCACATAAGCAACGACCTATTTTTAAAGTTGGCGCAATAACATATCCTCCCCTAGGCATGGGTTTGAAAAGTTCAAAACCAGAACCACTACCACCAAAACATCCAGCCAACCCTCAAAAGGCGAGACTACCAGCTATGGCAAACAAAACATCTCATCACCGAAATAAAGGTTGAGTATCGTCTAAAAAGCTGTGTCAAACAAAAATTATCGTAGCTAAATTATTTTATAACAGGAAATTAATAAAGCTTATATTAGCTTGCACTTATAATAGCAGTAGGTAAATAAAAGTGGCAGGTGATCGGACTGTTCCAAGCACAAATCCTTTATGATAATTTGATTTCCTTGCAGAGCCGAAGCCAAAACAACGCACCTCGGCACGTCTCATGCAGAAGGTGAATAAAGTAGAGCTGGTGCCTGCCAGAGTTACTAGGAACAGGTCTCGGCAAGCGACCAAGAAGCCAGAGAGAGCCACCATTGCAAGCAAATCGCCTCTGTAAGCCACTAAGCTAAATAGCATGTGTTAATCCTCGATTAGTTGTCCTTGCCTTTATCTCTGCCCTAAGTTTTGTTAAATTTTAACCTTTCTAAAAAAAATCCTTTGCACCATTCCAGCATGATTGACTCGTGTGTCATTTCTACTAAATTGACAAAGTAAATGTTTCAGCAATTCTATAATAATTGCATATCATTGTTTCCTTGATTTAATTTAGCAAACTTGTCAGTCAAGTACAGTTCAGCCAAAAAGGATTACTGAGAGAATACTTGTTTCTGAAAAATCATTCTTTATCAGCTTGAGTTGTGTGACAATTAAGCTACTCAACAATGGTTTTCAAATCCGCTTATACTCTGTCTCAGATTGTTTTATTTTATATTTTCACTTGTATTCGTATTGTGAGAATGCAGTGAAGTGTTGCGCACAGCATCGTCATGGCGATTACCCTTCTTCATGCATATTTATAACATCTCATGCGTTTATTAGTGTGGAGAGTTCGTCGGCGCGACGACCGGAACCCGATACGACGCACGTGTCGTATCACCGAGGCGAGACGTCCTTCGCGCCGGCGGATTTCAACTTCACATTCGGCACCTCGAAGCCTTTTGCTTTCGCCCCGATGACACCCACCTCAGCAAGCAGTTTTTTGGTCCCATCCACGAGTGATAGTGGCGACGCCAATGTCACTACAAACAGGCGGTGAGTGAATGCGCGATTCGTACGGGTCCTAGGTAGTCTGGATAGTCCTGGAGAATTAAAATGTTATATTCCAGGCCTGGGATGTTTTAGGCCATCCTTAAAAAATTATGTTTGCTGTCCTCCGACCAACCCACGAAAATAGCCGCGACCCAAAAGTTTTTTTTTACATTTTGGCTTCCATATTTTTATTTATTTTTTTACATTTTTCATAGTTAAGACTGAAACACAAAGCATGTCATGCTGTGTGGCAAACATGAGGACAGACTTAAAATAACTTATGCCTTGCAAAAAAAAATGACCTACCTACCTACCCACTCAAAAAATCATGGGTCGGGGGACAGCAAACATAGAATTTTTTGATGGCCTTAGAAAATGGCTTATGGTCTAGCTTGTGGGATCATGCTGAAACGAGCCATCCCATACAGCACGTTTCAATGTGTTTTTTGTTTTTTTACACAGGTGTTCTACACCAATAAGTGAGGTTAAACGAAACCCACGACTTGAGCCTGTTTTACCCAGTGTGGTGTCTGAATTGAAACTGGAAGCAAGTAATCACAGCACAGGTAGTGTAGAGTGTTCGTATTTACTCACTGCCACTAAATATGTAGATGGGTCTTCTTAGTTATATCAATTAATTAGGTATACAATTGATTCAAGACTGGCATGTTTAACTTTCTCACTGCCATGTGCTATAGTTTATTTGGTAAATTACATGTTCAGAGCAATTGTGATCAATATTTAAAACTAATCAATAATATATCATGTACTTAGTTGTGTTCTCATATTCTTCATCTAACATGAACATGTTAAACCTATGTATCGTTTATAGAGAAACCAGATCCATCTCCATCGGGCGGCTTGAAACAATCTAGCCAGAAACGAACAAAAGGTAACAAACTAATGTTGTGTAAAAGTTGTATTTTATGTAAATCAATATTTTATTATATTTTAATATATATATATATCAGGAGTTAATGAAGACAAACTTTGTCTTCATTAACTCCTGATATATATATATATATTATCAGGAGTCTATCAATAGGAGTAAGACAGACTAAAACTGGCAAACTTCAACATTTAGTAGCCTTATAAGGCCACCGCACACCAGCCGATTTTTACAAACGATGAAGCGATGAAGCGATGTAGGTGTGCGGGGGCCTGAATATGCGAGCTGAGAAAAAAATACAATGCGTCCAAGCGAACAATCAAGCGAACAATGCGAATTGAGTGTGGAAATTTACACAGCCACTCGCACACGCTGTTCAATCTTCCAAGATCACGCGCACACCACAAAATCGCGTCCAAATAATCAGTTCAAAATCAAACATGTTTGATTTTGGAACGATCACCCGATAAAAATAAAATCGTCTACAAATGAACGCGCACACCTACATCGCTTCATCGCTTCATCGTTTGTAAAAATCGGCTGGTGTGCGGTGGCCTTTAGTCTACCTATGATTTATTGTGTTTAACTCAATAAACTTGAGCTCAAGTGTTACCTTAATCATTAAACTAATTCCGTGTCTAATCGTTGGTCTCACAAAAATGACAAATCGGGAGATATCGGTTCAAACGTACAATGTGGTTTTAGCAATTTATACCACATTGTAAACAACAGTGGACCGAACTCAGCTGAAACAACGGGCAACGCTGTTGAATCGCCCTCTACCGCAGAGCAATGCAAACTAGCGAGGTTCGCCAGAGATTTCGGAAAGTTAAAAACGACTTGTTGTTGTATGCAATAAATCATAGGTAGACTAAGGCTACTAAATGTTGAATTTTGCTGGTTTTAGTCTGTCTTACTCCTATTGATAGACTCCTGATGTCATTACTGTCATTCAACATAGCCTATAAATAACACCAAGTCGTTTTTAACTTTCCAAAATCCCTGGCGAACCTCGCTAGTTGTTTGCATTGCTCTGCGGTAGAGGGCGATTCAACAGCGTTGCCCTTTGTTTCAGCTGAGTTCGGTCCACTGTTGTTTACAATGTGGTATAAATTGCTAAAACCACATTGTACGTTTGAACCGATATCTCCCGATTTGTCATTTTTGTGAGACCAACGATTAGACACGGAATTAGCTTAATGATTAAGGTAACACTTGAGCTCAAGTTTATCGAGTTAAACACAATAAATCATAGGTAGACTAAGGCTACTAAATGTTGAATTTTGCCGGTTTTAGTCTGTCTTACTCCTTATTGATAGACTCCTGATATTATGTTTAGGATTTATCATATTTATTCTAGAATATGTATTCTATATTTTATTTTTAGGATATTTATTTTAATTGATTTAATTAGTAGGGAAAAAGTAATTAAGCAACTAGTAGGTACCAAGATGTGTAGGCATCTTGAGGGATTTCTCATTTAGGTAAGTGAGTTGTGCAGTACGCTGGGTTTATTGACTGTTACCAAACATGGAACTTCTCAATTACTGTTACTTTCTGTCTCAGATTCCAATTCAAAACAACGCAAGACATCATCTGTTCCAATAGCCGACGAAGACGAAAACAATTCGGCCAAAAAGACGCGCCGCCACGTGGCTGTTGCCACGGTAATTGAGCAGTCTGTCCTGGATGCGGACATAATTGTCCGGGATGCGGACATAATCACGCCTTCCAACCGAGTAACGAGGAGCATGGGCCGTTTCGTCAGCGAGTGCCAGCCTCGCTCCCTCACCCCACCCCGGGGGGTGCATCAGTCTGCCGAATCCTTAGAGCTTCCTACGCAGAATCCGCAGAGCAGGAGTCGCGGCGACGATCCTCAAACTCCCGCGCCTGTCAACAATGGTCCGACCCAGCCGCCAGGGGGCGCCACTGAGAAGGCGGTGTTCAAGACGCCGCACCTGCCCTCCGGCAAGAAGACTCCCTTCTCCGTCGTGCGGGCGGTGAACCGCACCTTCCCGATCGGCTCGAGTCCGTTCGTGACGGTGCGCCCGCGGTCGGCCGGCCCGCGTTGCTCCAGCAGTGACTTGGACGAGATCACTGACTTCTCTCCGGAGCAGCTCGACTTTGCGGAGGCCGGGTGTGACCTGGCGGGGAGGGAAACGGACTGTGTGGAAATCGAGGCGCGTTCGGTCCAAGACGACGAACCAGAGCAGACGTCCGTGCCGCTTCACCTGCTGAGGCACGTCGGTCAGGTGCTGCCATCTGTCGAGGAATCGCCATGCGAAGTAGAGGACAGGAGCAATGGTAAATGATAGTGATGTCACGATCATCGGTTGAACAGTGGCTTGAACCAAGCGCTTGGTTATCAAAATCCATAATCAATTTCATCGGGAAGGAAAAAAATATTGAAATAAATGTAAAACTTGATCAAGAAAACTTGGAGAAGTGATGAGAATCAGAGATATCATCGCTATTTTAGTTCGGGAATCACCCGACATTCGCCGTAGTTACTTCCTGTTGAGGGGCTAAAGCCTAGGACACACTAGGGATTTTAAACGCTGGCTAAACAAGCACATATATGCACACACGTACATGCACACGACGTTACGCACACGCAGGCATTCAACACCCCGAGTAACCGATTGTAACCGATCATCGGTTACTTGGGTCCAACCGATGATCGATTACGAAATTACAACCGATTGACAACACTAGTAAAAGAGTAACTCACAGTCGTATGTGATAGTGCCATAGTAGTACAACGGTCGAGTGTAGCGGTGGTAGACCGAGAACACTTCATCATGTGACGTTATCATGTTATAATACATGGTGTTATCAATATTCCCCTGATTTTATATAATTGTTAATCGTTTGTGTGACCTCATGGGAAGTAATTACAACGTATTAGGGTGTTGTGTATAATTAGATGTTTATGTTTCCATAGCTGTGCATGTTCATAATCAGTGAATGTTTATCAAGCGAATTTTGGTAAAGTTATGTTCACTAATATTACATGTAATATGTGATATGTGATGAATGATATGTGAATGAAATTATCCAGGGTCTACTACTCACACAGAGACAAGCAGGTCTGTCCAGTACTTCAAGGACTTGTTGGTCTCAGAAGCGCTGCGACTAGAGGCACTCTGTCAGCATGCAAATGATGTGTACTGTGCTGTGACGGATCTTAGTGAGGATTGTACGTACCTTCTCTGTGACAATCTTCTGTGAGAGATCTGCATTCCACCTCATTTTATTTTCTTCACAGTTTGCTGAAGCAGAAGGTCATTCACTGTTTTTCGTACAATATATAATTGTACAATTCGTAATGCTTCATTTCGCTACTATCTGCTTTCTGGCACTATTAATTATCGAGGATACTGTTTGCACTCTCGGTGTGAATGCCTAAATATCAAATATAGTGGTATTTTCTGTTTACAGTACAAGGCCAGATTAGAACTGTCGTAGGACAAGGTCAGCTGCTGATGCAGCAACGGTTCAAACAGTTTGCAGGCTTGCTGCACAATTGCGAGTTTGGACTTGGGGAGAAAGAAACTACCTGTGGTGACCTACAGGGATTTTGGGACATGATATATTTTCAGGTAGAATTAGGGAATTTTGTTATAATGAGCTAAATTGTTTGGTTACAGACAAACTATTGGCACTACCATCATCACACATTTCTTAAACTATCAGGGGCCTGTCAGAGATGAATTTACATTTTTGTTTTAGTGATAAAGTGATTTAGTTTAGTGATAAATGTCCTGTAAACACTGAGCACATCATCATCATTTCATTACTATCTTCCAGGTTGAAGATGTAAACGAAAAGTTTTCCAATCTTGAGCAATTGCATGCCAAAGGATGGAAGAGTGAGACACCTAAACCTAAGCTGCTGCCTAAAAAGAAAAAGGTAAAATTTCATAGATGTAGTTTGTTCTATTATTTTATACACTGAAAACGTGTTTCCGCTTACATCTTGGTTACAAAAAGATTGGTTAGAAAATGATCCCTGCAGTATATCGACAGAATAAGGAGTAAATAAAAAACGCAATTTGTATTTTTTCCCTCCTGAAAGTGTATATACTTGTCTATTATTAATCAAACAAATTAATTTCTTTGTTTTTATGTAAAAGTCTTATATATTTGAATTCGAATGCTTTGTAGTTACTATGAATGTGACAGGACTTGTTGACACCAGCCTGCAAATAACCTGTGCATTCAGTCATGAAAAAGTAAAACTATACTTCCCAAACCAGTTTGCAAAATGAATCGAAATTCATGAATTGCAGTGCAAGGCGAATCTATCTCGGCAACCTTGTTAGTTAGGCCATACGTGGCTGCTCCCAGTCACCCCAAATAGGGCTATGCCTGTAGCAAACCACCTGTCACATCATCTTTTCACGGGAAACACTGATTTCAGAAGACTGCTGGCACGCGAACAGGAGCTGCTCAGAAGGATAAGAAGGCCAGTGCAGCGTCTGTGGCTGCACGAGCGCGCATCGCTGCAGCGCGCATCGCTGCAAGGCGTGAGAAGAAACAGGAGCCTGAGCACGCTAATGAACAACCACGTACGTGCATTTCCTTGTTGGCCACCAATGCTTGTGCATTGTCTGCCCGTTGCTAACCACTACTGTTGTAGGATTACTCGGAAATTCTCTAATCATTGGCAAGGAATTATAACGTATATATATATAGTCTACATCAGTAAACTAATACAAATTACTTGCGAAATTCTACCTGACTGCAGTTTGCAACTTGGGAATAATTACAGAAATATTTTGTTAAAGTTGTGCTTACAAAGCACTGAAGCTCTATGCACAACTGTTGCCAAGATTATCCATGTACTACAATATGTTGTTATTTCGAAACATGTTATGATGTAACACATAATTTATTTACTCAGCTGAAGCAAAGTCATCGCCATACTCCCCCTATGCGCAAGTGGCCAAGGAAAAAGCAGTGCGCGTGTCATCAATGCAGAGCCCTCGGGTGATGATGGTGCTGGCCTCTCACGCACGCTCATCCATGAGCCCACTACCAATGTCAGCCTTGAGCAGTCTCCAAAACTCACCTCTTCATACTAGCAATCGGATGGAAACTCCCTGCAAAACACCTACCATTGCGAATGTGGTTCCCCCTTCTGCAGGTGTGTATGTGCATCCCTTTGAGGCTCTTCATGGATTATATTTAATTCACAATTTAATTCATTAGTTACTGTTTAGTGTTTTTTGTTACCTCCGCCCAATGGAGTTGGAGGAGGTTATGTTTTTTAGCTCTCGTGTGCGTGTGTTCGCACGCGCGAGCCAGCCAGCGCAGCGAGCCAGCGAGCGTGTACATGTGAGCGAGCAGCAAGTTAGCGTGTACATGTCAGTATGCTGGCGTATATCGTGGGTTATTCGTGTGTTCGTGAGTCGTATGGTGTATGGCGCATGTCGTTGGCGGAGGTATGCACTCTCCGTGAGTGCACTCTGTCTAGTTCTTTATGTGTTATGTGGACCTGGGAAGATGATAGGACGCACAAATGTAAGTAAAGATGTTCGTCGTAGAGATTTGAAATCAAGTTACGTGATTCTGTGCATCATATCTGATTACGATTTAAATACGGCAGGCAAACACTCTGTCAACGGGTCACTCGAAATGCCCAAGTCGGCAATGAAGGATCATCGTTCACCTTACTCGCAAACTCTGCGCCGGTCCGTGCGCATTATGTCACCTCCTGCTCATACCACAAGGGCCGGATTGTCGCCCGTTCCAGGTACACGTTGTTAGCGTGTTTCACAAGTGGTTAAAAATTCTCAGATGCTTTAGTTTAGGACTTATAGCTCATATTAATTTTCTTTTGCGGGCTCTCATAAATCGCAAGCAGCGTACTGTTTAAGAAAAATCCCCATCTTGTGGAAGTGGCAGTGGTGCATGATACGAACATGTTATTAATTGTTGCATTATTCAAGAATTGTAAATTAACAATTTAAGTACTCGTGTACTATTTAATGGTTTAATTCCGAAATAGGTTTTACGACCCCGGACAGTAATACGGATACCGACGAGGATGCAGAAGTGCTGAAGAAATTCCCGAACCTGAGGATCGGCTTCACACCCAAGCGCTTCTCGACAGAGAACCAAGTTCCACTGTCGCCCTTATCCATGCAGAAGGGTGGGCCGCGACGCAGCAAGGTAATAAATGATCATATCATGTCTTGTTACCTCTCCTTGCTTTAGGTACAGACAGCCGAGGCAGTGCAACATGTCAGAATTGTCCGTTGCTTTCGATTAGGGCTTTGTCATCTGTGATTCAGAATCACGATCATGATCACGAATCAAGAGTATTTTATTGCACTACCTTTCTTTCCAATTTGATGATAAATCATTACCCTTGCACAGCCGTCTGTATTCACATCCCATTAATGTGTTTATATGTAATTAAAACGTATTTGCTTAAATATCTGAAAATATTTTCTTGCATTTTTAGAGATTAAGTCTCTTGTATACACCAAAGAAACCTGATGATAAAGAAAACCAAGGCATCGACCACAATGACTTGATGTCGTTTGACTCACCGATGGCTGTTTAGAAAGGTGTTTATTAATTATTATATGTAAATATTGCATTGTTTACAGTGCTCTTGTGCCCGTCGGGTCTATGTCTCCCTGGGTACTGCCGGAACGAAATTAAATTTGAAAACCCAGCCAGTACTGATTCCAAATATTTTTATTTCTACTATATAACCTATGGTAAAATCCATATAAATAGGCCAGTCTTGTTTAAAAGTTACCAGTGCTAAGTTGGGTGACAGGCTGCCATTTCCAACACTGTTAACAGTGTTATATGCCCATCCCAGTCCATCTATAGTCCCATGTTCCATCACTTTTAGTATCTGTGTTATCTGAAGATTTATGTCACCGTCTGTTTTCTGTTGGGTATCGGCATTAGTGTTGACTCGCTAGTCACTTCCCTCTACTGTGGCTAGTCGGGTCTATGTCTCCCTGGGTACTGCCGGAACGTACCCTGGTAACTTCTAATATTCCGGACCGTACCTCGCCTACTTCACTAACGCCTCAACGAGTCTAGGGAGTCGCCTACGCCTACTCCCTAACCCTAACCCTAAGTTACCCTAACCCTAACCCTAACCATATCAGATAGTTACCAGGGTTCGTTGCGGTATACCAGACCATACCCAGGGTACATTCCGGCAGTACCCAGGCTGGAAGACATAGACCTTATGAGCTTCTCGTGTTACCCATATGGTTGCATTACTGTCATGTTGTTCGCCATTTTCTCTGAAATTATTAAAAACGTATAAATTTGCAGAAATCCTACAGGCTGCTTTTGCAGGCACCTGATAACGGATTTATCCCCTAATAATTATAAGGAACGATTATACGAAACTGCATGGTCCTTTCTTGCTTATAAGCATAGAAGAAGGCATAGAAGCATTTGTTCCCATTTATTTAGGTTTTCATGGGCATGTGATGGGAGTGACTCAACAGATTTATCATAAGGAGATTTCATGCATGTTTTATTCAATAAATAGTTTGGTTTTATAGACAACGGCATCGCGGACTTTTCATTTTCAGTGTAGCAGATATAGAATTCATGGTAAACATGTAATTGAAAGTTATTCATCGACAAAAATAGTCTTTTCTTATCTTTTCATTTGTGGCCAGTACATAAGAGCAGTGCCCAAAAGTAGTATGTAAGCAAGTTACTGTATTCTGAAACACATGTTATAGTGCAATCTTAGCCATAAACATATAGTAGGTTTTATTTTCATTCATTACAGCATGTTGAATGTTAGACAGAACTTGCATAGTAATATTAGGTTAGAGTTATCAAAATGTGTTTGTGTAAAAATTGCTAAAAATATGTGGTGCGAGTAGTTTTTATTGATACCTGTATTCTCTTTGTTAATCATATCTGTAACCACATCGATCTGTAGCAATTTCTATATATAATTATGGATAGTACCATTTTTCTTTTCTGTTCACTTCATAAGTGGTAGTCAATAGTTACTACTTAGTAAATATATACGTATAGTTAAGAGCTAATAAATACCTTTATAAGGTATATAAGGTATTTATTAGCTATTGGTATAGTGTGATATATTTTGATTTGTTCTATGTAAAATAATGTCATAAAGCAAAGGAAAGCTATGAATCAAAGATTATAGTAATGTGTTTCTATTACCTGAATGCGACAATCACTATGTATCGTCAGCCGAACATGCCAGGCTTCTCCCTACGTTGCGCAAACCGGGCGCGCCCGGCCCGTTTGGGAAAACTCCCCCCCCCCGTTTCAATCGTTGCGCCACGTTTAAATTATTTCCGCCCCGATTTTATTTTTAATTTTTTTTAATGGGAATGGCTACATGAGGAACAGGCTGAGTGAGTCAGCTTTGGAGGCGCTGCTGCTACTGGCAATTGAGGGGCCACCTCGGCAAGAATTCCCATTCGACCCACTGGCAGCAAGAACAAGTCCGCACCTGCAGCTACAGCACACACGCATTTATTGACTATATATAACAACGTTATATATAGTTGTTATAGTAGCTATAGTTGTTATAGTAGTTATATATAACTATATATAATGTTGTTATATATAGTCAATAGATGCGTGTGTGTTGTAGCTGCAGGTGCGAACTTGTTCTTGCTGCCACTGCCAGTGATTCGACCAGGCCCCCAGACCCCCCTAGTTTTCCCTTCCCCTCCCCCATCCCCCTCCCTCTGTTTCAATTTCATCCTGGGGAGAGCCCTGCATGCATTTATTCCCTCAAGCTGCTTTACAAGCATACATCCAATTTCTGCACATAAAACAACAGCTGGATGGCTTCAAGGCTAGGTGTAGTCGTCAGTGCACGTGGTTCCAGTCATCTACGAAGGAATCACTGCAAAGCTCCATATGAGAGAAATAGAGCATCCAATATCATAACAGTATCAATACGTTATAATAACGGTATCAATACGATATAACAGTATCAATACGTTATAATAACAGTATCAATACGATATAACAGTATCAATACGTTATAATAACGGTATCAATACGATATAACAGTATCAATACGATATAATGGTATCAATACGATATAACAGTATCAATACGATATAACGGTATCAATACGATATAACAGTATCAATACGATATAACAGTATTAATACAATATAACGGTATCAATACGATATAACGGTATCAATACGATATAACGGTATCAATACGATATAACGGTATCAATACGATATAACGGCATCAATACGATATAACAGTATCAATACGATATAACGGTATCAATACATTATCATAAGAGTAGTGATGGGAATCGGTTGGAATTTCATCATCAGTTGCACCCAGCCGATCAATGATCGAAGATAATTGGTTGAATGTTATTGATCGTGGTTACCAGATATTGAAATATATCATATAATATAATGCAGTATTTTTTATAATACAATAAAAGCTAAATACTAAAAGCTATCTAACAGTACTATGCTTGCTTATGTTTGGTGTAGGTTAGACTTACTGTCTCAATCACGGTACATATACCGTTAGTTTGTTTTCCCATTTGACGTCTGTGCTTACCTCTGAATTCTCACGTCTATTTTTATATTACTAGTAGGGATACTGGTCGAAAAATTTTGCTATAAATAGAAGCCCTGGATAGACCTCAGCCAGTACATTACAGTGATACTTTAATCGTCGATATTGGTTTAGGGGTTCCGGAGCTATTGCGATTTTAGTGAGCGTCGCTGGGGTTATTTTTCTCGTGCCATTTCCGAGTATGTGTCCGGAAGCCCGTGGTATAGATTTTGATCGTTATTTGTAAAATAAATAAGGCACAACTTATAAGTAAATATATTCACCTCACGAAGTTATATGGGCGTTTGTTGTATGATGATTGTTATATGAAATAATTATTTACTGCAATCTGGAAGACACCTTTGCATTTCTATAGGTGTCTGAATATATAGCTCCATAGCAAGCGATTTATGTATTGTATCAGCAACGGCACCGACATTTTTTGAGCAATTCCTCCCATTTTGAGGTCAAATTAATTATGCCATGGTTCTGCTCTACCTGCCACATTGAAAATTCATATTCTGATAGAAATGCTTCCAAATAACATGTTTCTGAAGAAAAATAACATGTAAATAACACCAATTATTTTATATTGCAGTCAAATTTTGGAGGAAATTGAAAATTTTAAGGTAAAGACTTTTGAGCTGTCCGTTTTCTGTATCGAAAGTATTTTTTCTTCATCTAATTAAAAATAGTTTCAATGCTGCTAGATATCTGAAATTTTGTATATTTATATTATATAAATGTATGAGATTACTAGCAAAAATTGTTAGTGGTTGCAGGGGGAGTGTGGACAGACATGTCTAACATTAGTAAATACAACACAAGTAGTGTACACTGACGTTTCCACCGTTTAATTTAATTTTAATATCTATTTGGTATTTTAACAAATTCTGATTGGTGCCGTAGTTTTAATAAAGTGGTGAATACTTTTGCTATTCCACTGGCTACAACGAAACCATGTAAAATGGACAAGAAATTAAATCATGATATGTGAATAATGTGAATGCCTAAACATATACCATGTAACATGAAAATAATACAGAATTCGTATTGTATATAGCTTGCAAACACAACATTTATTAAATTAACAGGCATATCAGTCCTCACTTATCAGAAAATTCAGTCTCACAATTTAAAATCGTATAGCTGAAAAGATGTATAATAAAAATTTGTGTCACAAAAATAATTTTGCTATGAACTATAGTGTATTTAGATATTTATATGAAAACATATTTATCAGGGGATATTCACTCATGAGACCATAAAATGTGTGCAAAACGTGTATACAAGAACGTGAAGATATTTGCATGCAAACTCAAAATTTTTCCTTTGCATAATATATTTGCACAGAAAACGAATACAAAGAAGAGTCGACCTTTATACCTGTTAAATAAACGCATAAAAGTATACATGTACATCAGATTCTCTTTACTATATCTACTTTCAAGATATGACACCATCTTTTCCATATAAATATCTTTCTTTATTTAAATATTAGATATTATTATGTATTTAGAGTTCTAGTGTAAAGAATTTTTGAAAGTGTTGTCATCCAAAATTACCAGTGTTGCCTCCCTGCTGGGAAACACAAATGTGTCATTTACACAAAAATTTAATCCAATCACAACACCCAGAAGCATGGTCCCAGTTGGTGATAAAAATCAACCTATCAGGGAATATAACGTACTACCTCTGCTTGACAAGAGGAACAAAATAACCCTAATTCCATAGAATCCTTAGTAGTCGGATTAATATATGAACTCTCCAAAGTCTTGCATAATCATATTTATGCATTTAACCTTGAACGTGACCTATTATTTGTCTTTACGAGCTTCTGCAGGTTTGAGTCCATCTTTCGCAGCTGCCGTTTCCTCCTTTGTGCTGACTTTTTCATCTGCTTTTATTTCTTCTGCTGGATTGTCTTCATATCTAGAAACAGCAAACCAACAGTATTCAGCAAGATGAAATTGACTCGGTAATAATATTCTTTCATTATTCATAACCTCACTACTGAAACAAGTCTACAGTTGTCGATGGCACCGTCAGTGCCGATAATTATCTACTTAAATCAGGTAGCAACTTCTAAACGATGATGAAAATTCTGCACTCACGCAAACATGTCGTGCAATTCTCCCTTGAGCGTGGCGACTAATAGCGGTGCTCCCAGGCAGGCAGGTACCAAATACAGGAGAGCTGGCTGTAATACCATTAACAACACCAACGACAGGTCAACACCACGTTACTTCACCTTGTTTGCAAACTGTTATGAGACTTGAGTCTATTCTAGAGTTACTTGAGGATAAAATGTTTCAAGTCCAATTTCCATAACAAATATGGTGTCAATGTTAGAAGGTAAAATGCACACGCACCTGTGCATGTTTGAAAACATGCATCACGAAGATGGTTGTAAGTAAGCCAGCTATATAGGCTGCAAAGCTAGTGTAGAAGTACGTTCTTCCTCCGGGACGCTTCTTCAGACTGAAATTGCACAATAAACATTACCACAGAAATGGGACGTGTCAATAACTCTTATACATTACATTCACACAGTTGTTAGCAGCCGTCATAATCTGGTCGTGTATAAGATACGAATTACAGACCGACCTCCTTTATCCGGCCACGTCGGGACCGGCACCCATTCGGATATGAGATTTGGCCGGATATGAGAGTTATGCTCATACACAGCATTTCTATGCAGTTCAGTAGGGTTTATGCATGTGATAATGTATTTACTCGTTGCTATGATTATTTGTAACAAACTGTCGTGTTTTATGGTTTATATGAAATGGAAATAAAATGAAATAAAACAGAAATTTTACCGGAGGCATAGCGGACATGAACAGACAACATACACACGCGCGCGCGCGCACACACACACACACAAACACACGTACGGTTGGTACATCACGCAAGTTTTGAGCGAGATTTTTAGGTGGAAATGAATGAAAAACACAGAACATACACTCCGAAATCGCGGCCGGTTAACAGAGATTTCCGGATAACGGATGGCCGGATAAAGGAGGTCAGACTGTACTATATATATAAACAAAAAACAATGATGCCACAAGCTGCAGCCATCTCATGTAAGATTGTTTTTCATACTTGCAAAATTAATGAAGGTTCATTTATATGGACGTGAATTCTGAAGTAAGCTACATTTTAGAAGATGTCTCACGTACAGCAACACTCGCTAGTTACCTAACATCAAATCGCAACAGTAGTGCAATGAAGATTCCAGGTATGACAATGTCTCCTAGTCCCAGCATTGCAAAGTTTTGTGCATCTAAGCCTCTCTCCAACAGATCTTGTGGAAAAACCACTACAAACACAATTGGAAGATAAGCTTAATGTAAGAAGTGTAGTAGGTCATATAACACACTCAACACATTCAATATGCATATGTATATTCCACTGAAACATTCACACTAAAGTATTGTCCCATCTGTCAGCATCAAAGCAAAAGTATTAATACTAATATTTCCTAAAATAACACAATTCTATTTAAGGATTTTTTTAAACGCAACTCTACAACAGTAAATATGTAAGAAAATAAAAAGGCGCGCTAACACAGCAATGGTTGGTGTATTAACCTTAATTTTAAAATCGGCTGTGATATAATAACGTGCGATTAATAAAATCGACTTAGCCTGTATAGCAGCTTCAGATAATACTTACACTTAATTGGAGCCTCAAATGACTTTGCTACAGTCACCATCACATTTGTACCAAATACCTGCAACACAAATGAGCAGGTGACTAACTTGGAATTGCTTTTAACAGATCCAGCTAGTTATCAAAGCAGAACTTCTCATAAAGTACTGTGTGTTTATGATATAAATGAAATGCAGGTTTTGCCACCAGGTGGTGCCATGTCCCCAGTCAAACTGTGCATGTGGAAATATTATTGTGATAAAACTAACTAAAATACTGCAATAACATTCGAACATTTTCGAAATTACGTTTTTTTCAATGAGTAAAAATATTAGTTATAATGCTATAGTTAATATGTCTACAATTACCCAAAAGACGTCGTAGATGAACAGACCACAGAGTAAAATAGCTCCTGTTAGAACACTGTTCAGCTGGAGAAGCTCGACTCCATTGACTGAGAATGCCAGTCCAAATAAGTTATTGGCAATCCAGTGCTAAAATACACATGTACACAGAGTCACAACAGTAATAGATGGCTAATCCATTTCTCATGTATGTATACATACATATACACAGAAACTCTCGCATCAATACTGTAGAAAAATGATTTCAATTTGAGCTACAATGAGGATGAATATCAGTTATGATAGGATATATGAAATAGATCAGGTAATCTTAGGAATAAGGTATCAGTAAAGATCAAGAGCATTTTGACATTTGCTCCAAGGACCCAATAGTTTAATTGATTGTAATCTATGTCGTTAGTGTGTTGGATACAGGTAGGGTGAGTAGTTGATATTTCATTACCACCAAATACCAATTTAGCATTTGTCACAGGGTTGAAGATTGCCTTCTGTAAATATTGTATTGTAAATGATAAATTATGCAAGCAGGCCATACTGCTATTACCTTCTTCCAAAGATACCATCCTCCTGTTATACCACACAGAGTTAATGTCACCAGATCTCTGCGATCAAACGAGTAGTCAATGACATCTGAAATAATAAGAGTATGATCAAACAATTACACTATATACTGTTCTGCATTTTGTATGTAATTTAGATACATATGACTGCCATCACGAATCCTATTACTTGCATTCATCATTGACAATGCCAATGTTCCAAACCAGTACTTAATATGCTTACCTTCTTCATGTCCTTCATCTCCTTCCTCCGAGAACTTAAGACGGTATTTCTTGTTTGGGAACGATGCAGGCAGAAAAGCATTAACTACGGGACTGAAAGAAAGTACATTGAAACTGTACTATAAACACTGAATGATAGTTCAGTCATGCTCACATTAATGGAGGATAGACTGATAATCAATTATTACAATTTGAGTAATAATGATCTGTTTCAAATAATATTAATAAACTAGTAATTACGCTACAACTATAGTTTATAGTAGACTGGAAAATTAATAGTTTTATCAACCAATATTACATGTGAATTATCTGTATTTAGATCCTGGTTTCAGAGTAGAAAAAAATTTACCTCAAAATATGAGCAAGTGCTAGCACTCCGAGGAAAAAAAAGTAGCCAGTCAGCAATAAATTTATATATTCCTTTGAAAACACCTGAAAGAAAATGTAAATAGATGTGTTTACTCAACCAGAGGGTTGAATATACGTAACTACCTAATTATTTATGTAGGTTAATAAAAAAATCTATTTACATTGCTCTATGTATGTGAGCACACATTTTTGAACATTTCACGCACACTGATCATGTAAAATGACTAAGATATTATACAGCTTTGTATTTTAAAGAGCTTTGAAAGAATATTTCATAATTTGTCTTACAAACCTGGAAGAAAACATAGAGTCCAAACAATGCACATGACGCATATATTGGGAACATTGCAGCATCACGATGAGTCATTCTATCCACCTGGGGGTTTTCCTCCTGTTAGATATGTAAACATGATATTGCATGAGATATATATTAAATATACCTGACATTTTTTATTATTACTCTTCTAGTGATGTGACTGACTATCAGACTATACTATAGTCATTGTGACTGACCTAGTACTATACCGGTATGTAACTATGTTCAACTAAAAATATGTCTAGTATCCACAACAAAAATATCACACATGTAATACGGGGATAAACACAGGCACTTGAAGTGTTTCAATAAAATATAATGCTAAATAAATACGAAATCTATTTACTACCAAATTCTTAATGTTTCTGTGCTCTCTTTCACCTATTATTGCCGACAGTTTCCTGTAAATTCCGTCCAAATGCTATTTGCAACATACGCTTGCGGCCACCATTCCTCACGCGGCTGCACTGTGCACACTTACACTTATATATATAGCAAGTAGGAAAGCGTGCTGCCCAAATTCGCTCGACGCACGCTGGATTTCACACGATTACAACACAAATATTCAACCATTCTACTCCTTCTTTGTTTCTATTTTAACAACAGTGTTCACTTGTTATAAAAACATACTGTCTCTGTTCGTAACCGAGCTGTGTCACGCAAAATCACACAAAGACTGACGAAATTCTCACGTTCGCTAACGTTGCCCAATAAATGTAAATGGCTGCAAGTACAGAGCTATATAGACTGGTACTCGCTCCCACCTCAATTACCAATCGAGTAACTAAGCTAAGCCGAGAGGTGGGAGCGAGTACCAGTCTATGGGCTATAGGCGGTGCACTGCTTTCCAACTCCCGTACGAGCCTCGCCATTGGAGCGTTGCAAAAACGTTGCAGCATTGCGGCGCAAGAATGAGGTCACGAAGAGCGCCGGTGGGTGTTTCCTGATTCTGACAGTCATTTATATTTACTGTACAACGTTAGCGAATGCGAGAATTTCGTCAGTCTTTGTGTGATTTCGCGTGACACAGCTCGGTTACGAACAGAGACAGTATGTTTTTATAACAAGTGAACACTGTTGTTAAAATAGAAACAAAGATGGAGTAGAATGGTTGAATATTTGTGTTGTAATCGTGTGAAATCCAGCGAGTGTCGAGCGAATTTGGGCAGCATGCTTACCTCCTACCTGCTATATATATATAAGTGTAAGTGTGCACAGTGCAGCCGTGTGAGGAATGGCGGCCGCAAGCGTATGTTGCAAATAGCATTTGGACGGAATTTACAGGAAACTGTCGGCAATAATAGGTGAAAGAGAGTATAGAAACATTAAGAATTTGGTAGTAAATAGATTTCTTATTTATTTAGCATTATTACCTCCGCGCAACGGAGTTGCAGGGAGGTAATGTAATCGCTCTCGTGTGTGTGTTCGTGTGTGTGATCGTGTGTGTGTGTAGCCAGCAGCGAGCCAGCTGTTATACACACGCTCAACCGATCGATCGATTCAGCACCAGCTC